GTTCCTTTAAACAAAAAACACATTATTATAAATCAACTAGAGGTTGTCCACGGATTGCGTGGATTTAAAAATTAACATGATAAAATATGTAACAATTATAGTTTATTGATTATTTGTGTATTTAATATTACAAAACATTGTTGTTGTACTAAATAATTATCTAGGTTAGAAGATTAAACATTTTGAGCAAATTTTTGGATATACACAATGTTAAATGTGGAAAGAAATAGACTGTTATATCTTATACATATGAAAGATATCTTTTTTTACACTAATTCGCAACTTGTATGTCTAATTTATCGATATTCACTACGGTTCCCTAAAAAATGATTGGTTGTCGTTTTTATTGCATCAAATATGTTTGTAAAAAAGATTATTGATCAAACAAGTTGTAGTATATTTTTTACAAACATATTAGATGTTAAATATACAGATGTTAAAATGCATCTTTATATTTTGTTTCGTTAGAACCTTAAATTGTAAGAAAAGAATAATTGATGTTTGATTGTATTTTTTTTGTCTCACTCTTTTTATCATTTTTTACGATTTTAAGATTACTGATCAGACAAGTTGTAGTATGTTTTGCTTCTATCAAGACATATGCATTATCTCAACAGATATGTTGGAATGCTTATTTGTGTTTTGTTTCGTTAGAACCTTAAATTGTAAAGATAGAATAATGATGTTTTCTTTTCTTTTTTTTTCTCACTCTTTTTATCGCTTTTTTACGATTTTTTACGATTTTTATCTTTCACATCGATGCATTTTTGAATTATTATGTGTTTTCTAGATTCACAATTTGTGGAGGAGTAAGGTTTCTTTTCGAGAGTATTGGTTAGATGATTGACAACATTAACATTCTAACAACCTTAAAATTCCTAAAATCACTAATGAATTTTCTAACACCATTTTTTGCTAATGTTACGATTCTTTTTATTAAAGTTTTTTGTGACTTTTTGTTTTAAAATTGTAGTTACCTATCTAAAGTTTTAAATATTTTTGTATAGTATATTGTTATATTTAATAAATAAAAAATATATTTTTCAAACCGTTAAAAATTTACAATAACACATTTAGTTTGAAATTATATTTTTGGATGGATATCAAAGAAAAAAAACTGAAATTGGTCATCTTTATGTTACACTTTAATTTTTGGAATTAACTTACACTAAAATTAGATATTAAATTATAGGAATTAATTGTTAAAGTTATTTAAAACACTTCATTTACATTAAACTTTTTTTTTGTCAACACATTAAACTTACCTATTAAATTGTAGGAATTAATTGTTAAAGTTATTAAAAATACTTAATTTTTTTTCTTTTCAATAAATAAATCTAAAAAATAAATGTCAAAAGAATAGATGACACATGACATCCTATCATGAGATGGGTTTAAAAAAACCTTAAAATCTAATATAATATTTTAAAGTTTCTCAAACCAAATTTATGAAAGGCTGCCATGTGTCATCTAATTTTTTGACTTTTAGCTTTTTAATTTATTAATTAAAAAATGAAAATTAAATTCTCTTAATAACTTTATCAATTAGATGTAACAATTTAATAGATAATTCTTATATAATATAGTAAGGTTTCTCAAATTTCAAGCCATGAGAGGATGTCATGTGTCATCTATCTTTTTGACATTTGTCTTCTTAAATTACTTATTGAAAACAAAAGAAAAATTAAGTGTATTTCAATAACTTTAGCAATCTAATATAATATCTAATATATTATTTTAAGGTTTCTCAAAACCAAAGTTATGAGAGGCTACCATGTGTCATCTAATTTTTTGACTTTTGGCTTTTTAATTTATTTATTNAAAAAATGAAAATGAAATTCTCTTAATAACTTTATTGTAACAATTAATAGATAATTCTTATGCAAATTAATTCCAACAAATTACATTTAAGTGTCTTATGCTCATTTATGTAATTCT